ATATATACACACACACACACACACATACACTCATGCACACACATACACACACTCTCACACACACATACACACACTCACATACACACACACACACATATATATATATATATTTGCGTACGTACACACGTGCACAAGAATATATAGAAACATTCAGTCACAGATATAGACATACACATACACAGACACAGACACACACACATATATATATATATATAGGGAAAGCGAGAGAGAGAGGGTATGTACGGGTGTGTGAGGTATGTATCATATAGTGCATTCTAAGATTTACTATATTTTCACACATATATTGATGTACTTGTTCTTGTATGAGTTTACAGACAAAGGATTCAACATCGGTTGTATGATACAAGTTAATGTATAAGAAGGCTATCTATGATTGATACGTGATTGTAGTGTGAAACACGCAGTCGACTGAAAGATAGAAACACATACAGTACGCTGGATACAGCATGTTGTACAAGGCTATATCAAATTTCAACTTAAAGCCAATATTCTGTGATATATTAATCTCCGCAATATCGCGCTTAATATATACTATGGCAACAATGGAGACTCACAATACCATATCCACAACTTTACTCAATACAATAGTGCAACTAGCATTCAAAGTTCTATCATGTGATTACTATATATGGTATGCCAAATATCTCTAGAAGCAATCTGCATGTTCAACGCGTTTTAATTATATCATAAAGGGTGTAGATCATCAACATACACAACCATCGTTGTAAACTTAAAGGAAGAACATTTACATAGGTTCGCTGGGATTCCGTAGTTGCCGCATCGCGTTCAAACCACATACCTGTGAGACACTCTGTGAGAATAGTAGATTGCGATGTGAATGGGATACAGATCCCGCCCCACTGAAGAAGTATAGCAGTAGAATGACCAGTGTACTGCATCCCATAATGTAGATCAGACGCTCTCTCCTCGCGCGCATACTCGTTGCGCTGTCACACATGGCAAACGTTGGCTTTTGTTTTCCAGCTTTTACATACATGAAGGAACAATTCCCCGCTCAAACACATTACTTCCTTCTGTTTAGAGGTGGGGCTAACCGTTGGGGTATCCATGCGTGTTGTATAAATACACGAAATGTCTCGCTAGTACAGGCTGTACAACATACTTGCGCGCCGTTCTTAATTTTTTTTACTTTGAGATCGAATGCGAAAGGGCAACTTGAAATCTCGAATGCCGTCGTAATCGTGCTGAAGTCAGAAATTCCAGAGGCACCCGCCAAAAAAAAACCAGTAAATTCTTATGAACACACATTACAGGTTGGCGGTTGACATCAGGATTAGGGTTGCTGTGGCAACTGATTCTTGTAAACAAATGATTATTGAGTCAGTCAGCAATAATCAGCATACGTAATAGTGCATATAGATAAACACGTCATTTTGAAAGAAATAAGACATCTATATGTAATAGCTTATCACTCTTAATAAGTCCAAGCTACAGGGATGGTGCATGAGCCTATAATGCTCAGAAGGTAACAGAGCGATAAACAATACATACACGCGGCTACACTTAACAGTTGCAAAATGAATAGATTTCTCAGAGAAAAGGTGAGGGCAAGATATAAAGTCTCACCACACGTCTGTAGAAGGGAGTGGAAGTTTCTTACTTTCAGTCCAGGAAGTCAAGTCCTGATTGTATAGGTTTCTCACAATGTAGTACAAACTCGATACAAACGAAACTTCATTTATTCGAATTGATAGAAATAACCACTGTTGAGGTGGAGGTAATTTTATTAGTTCTGATAGGTTCAGAGTTACCTGGCATATACCCAAAAAAGAAAGTTTTTGGAGCGGTATAAATCTCCATATATGTTTCATACATGTCATGGCCTTCAAAATGGTTTACAGGATTTCAAGCTAGGGTTCATTGGTAAGTCTAGGTTGTTTTTCCATGTGTTTTGTCCACAACTTGAACAAACATGAAAATATCCCTTCCTGATGTCAGTTAATATATGAGTATTGATGTTGTACCCTATCAATACTATCATCAAGAACAATAAATAGTTCAATATGTTCCAGCGGGTACAACGTAAGCTGTGGTGACATAAAATTAAAGTTGAAATTGAAACAGCAACCGCACAAAGTTGAAGTTGAAACAGCAAACGTACAAAGTTGAAGTTGGAGCAACAGGTCCTGAAAATCAGATCAAAGTATTGACGCATCGGTGTATCATTTCTTCTATTTTTTGAATATCTAAAGTTCATGTGAGGAGAAATCTGAAATTGACTCAATGAGGAAGTCAATTCCCGGCAATTCCTTGAAAAAATAATAGGAAAGTGTCCGGCCCAAGCCACCACCGCACACGAATCACAAACAAAACAAAGACGGCACCGTGAACGGAGAGGCCCTAAATTGTCTAAAAAAACCATGTGTTTTATCTGCTAGGCGCTTAAATTGGCTGTTTCGTTGACCACTAATACAAAGCAAGAACTCGATTTATGTTTGTTTAATTTAGCAACCGATTCACATAAAGCAAACACAAGCCACACACAGCTAAATTTTTACAACGTCTCAGTGTCAGATGCCGAGCATACAATGTCTGATCGGGATAGTGTACACGTGACCTTGGCACGGACATTAAAAGTTAAAGCGAAACTTCATGTGCTCATATCAATAATATAACCTGCCACATATTTGCAGGACTCTCTTTTCGCTATTATAATATTTTTAAAATCCTTTATATTGTTTCCGATTTATTAACTAAATAAAATTCCTGTGATAGATAGTAATTAATATATGCGATTTGTACGCTGGACTGCTGCAGACATGTATTTAATATTGATCTCAACTACTCCAGTTTCTAGTTTATTTTGAGTTGTTGACCAACAAATGTAGCAGATTGTGAATGAGTGCTTTTGACGAAATCAAGACAAATGATATACCTGGTAGTTGTAGCACTCGCTACAACTGGAAAGGATAGTTTCCTGTTCCTGGCTTTGCATGTATATAAGGAGCAAGCGACTGGTTTAACAAACAAGCGACTGGTTTGACTACTATTGCATATTACAGAATGATCTCAAATCAAATGCATGTACAAAACCGTAAAATAAGCAAAGTATCGTCATCATTTGCTATTTAGGGGTACCGATGCAAGCTTTCGATAAAACGTCCTAGTTAGGATTAGAACAACAGGCAATATAAGGAATCCACAAAATCAACCAAAGGATAAAGGAACAAACCGGTTCCTTTCTATTTATATTTAAGTGAGAAACCATATATCCCTGACTGATTGGGCAGTTCTGTGTCCATCAATACGATCAGTTGTCAATAAATACGTCAATAAATACATTCAGGCTCCAAGGCTCCAAGCCCGGCAAGGTCCCAGCCTCGTCCTCCATGTATCAACTATCAGTAAAAATAAATGTCCACAGTCACTCGATCTTCCCGCCAGTTAAACTCTGTCAGGCAGTCTGATGAAGTTTCAGATTCTGTGATTTTGAGATTATTACGAGATCGGGCCTTTGTGTATTTATTTATAATTTGGAAGGCTATGCCTTTGGGCCTTTTTGATTTGTTTAAAAAAAGTAAAAAATAACAGTTGTAAATATGTACATAAATACATAAATATTAATGTATTTGTTGGTGTTAAAAAAAACAAATATTTATTTATTTACAGTGCCTTATTTTTCTTACATAGGACAAGGCTATTTGCAAGGCTATTTGTAAAATTTGTTTTTGAAAATACATAAATATGATAGAGGGGCGAATTTTTTTTAGAAATTCGTGTTTAATTTAGAAGGCTATGAAATTTGTGTGTGCTTTGTATGTACTGAAAAACTAAAAAGACTAATATTCCGTATAAATATGAATCTAGAGGATCTTTTGGACGTCTCTAAAAATACCAGACAAATTGAAATGAGGGGCTTGCCCAAAAACTCGTATTTTGAACTTGATTTTCTTATTTTTTTAAAACAATACATAAAAATCCACTCTATGTATAATTGTTGTATACTCTGGAAGTGTATTTAGTAAATAGTCTCTCTACTCTAAGTCTACTCTACTACTAGTTAGTAGTAGAGAGAGCGAGAGAGAGAGAGTAGTAGTAGAGCGAAAAAGCCTAGGCTCTAGGAGTCGAGAACTCGAGATTCCAGAACGCCGAACAGCCATGATTTTACATAAGCCGATTCGGTCTTCGGTTACAAAACTGTAAAACAATATTATTTTACTTTTATAAAAAACACAAAGCTAAAGCAACATGATGACATATAATAGTGTCCAATAGAAACGTAATTTGGCTTTGGCAGTTGGAAAAATAAAATTCCTGTGATGGCTACAAGTCTGCAACTGCTAAATAATTACATACATATCGTCATATCCACATTTTGTTTTTAAAAACAAAAATACATTTTATATATTAAAACCTGTAGTCTGTGACTCAGTGACAGTGACTCTGTGAGTGCGTTACGGACTCGCGTCTCTCGGTGTCTGTGTTGACTCCGTGTGATGATATCACAAAGTAACTTTAAAAAAACCTCCCAATATATATATATATATATATATCTAGCACTGTGGTGTGCTCTACTAGGAGAGTACTTAGTTATTGAGCGGTGACTCATAGACTGATACATATAACCTCATTTTTATCGCAGGCCACCGATGAGCAACGACCAGAAAGTACCAACTTACAAAAGGATCTTGTAAAGTATGTACCTATCAGATTTCCATAGATTGATTATGTTCATCTGAATTTTACACTTAGATCTTCTGTATGCCGAACGGGCAGGTATATAAGCAGGCTCCTTAGACAGTAGATAGTATGCACTTTCGATTAGAGTTGCAATTTCCACCAAACAATAGTATGATCCCAAAACTCGTATCCATTCTAGCCATCTTTGCAGCAGTCGCTTTGGGCGATGAAATCTCCGCACACCTTACGGAGGCCGAGAAGCTTGAAAAGCTAGCCGCTGATGAGCGTCTCAGTGTACCACCAACTTCCTTAACAGGTCGTGCACGCCTGAATTACGGTAAGGACTATGAAACGTGCTACTTCAAGGGCAATTGGTATAACGAAGGTGATAGGCGAGGTTTCGAGTCCGGTTATTGTAAATGTAAGTCGAACGGAAAGTGGGTCTGCCAGTTCGAGCCTGACGGGTGTGAGTACGATGGGGAGGTTTATGATGACGGTGATACTGTCAGATGCGAAGGTCGCGACTGCAAAGAATTCTCAACTTGTACTTGTAAAGACGGAGAGTTGGAATATTGTAAGAAACCCGAACAGCTCAAGTGTCATTATGACGATCGCAAATACTCGCATGGCGATTGGATTGTATGCAGCGGTCGGGATTGCAAAGACTGGTCCAAGTGCAAGTGCAATGATGGAGAGCTCGAACAGTGCAAGGAACCCATTATGCTCACGTGCTACTATGAAAAATATGAGTATGAGAGCGGGAAGACTGTGTACTGTGAGGGTCACGACTGCAAGTACTGGTCACACTGCCACTGTGACGACGGGGATTTAGTCCAATGTAAGGAACCTGTGAAGCCAAAACCCCAGAAATGCCATTACAACCACCGTTCGTATTCCAACGGTGATATGGTGCGGTGCGATGGGTACGACTGTAAGGAATGGTCAGAGTGCCGATGTGCGCATGGTAAGTTGGTGGACTGCGAAAAAGAATGGAAGCCTAAGCCTCAGCCCAAACCACAGCCACCTAAGCCTCAGCCCAAACCACAGCCGCCTAAGCCGCAGCCACCTAAACCTCAGCCCCCAATCGATCCGACTGGCAACTACTACGTCTGTGGCGATCTCGAAAACACCAAGTGTCACGGCCGGGGGTTCAAGCACAATACTCCTTGCTGTAGATATAGTACCAAGTGTCCCGGCTATTCCGTCATCAAGTGCAACACTTCGGAGTGCTGTCTTTAAACTCGCATGTGTGTGTTTTTGCGTATGTTCGTCGGGCATGTTGCAGGTTTTCAAGTTGTGCATTGAATGCAGAAAATATATTTATCGGTCTTATGGATACCATAGATATCAACAGTCCTAGTAAATTGCGGCAAATTGGATGTTGTATCTCGTACAAATAGATAAATAAAAATCGACCCATATAGTAGTGAAGTTCAAGTTTATGCAGCAATAATCTCCTCATAGGTATTTACTCGACACAATACCTACACCACGCTACCACGTACTTATGAATTGTATATTCTCCAATTTGTGTGTGTTGATATATATTGATAAAAAATCTGAGAACCTATTGTACGAATTGAATATATTTTCTAACTATAGTCGTCCTTGCATGTATCAGGCAGTGATTGAAGAGAATACTAGATTATAAACATATCCACGACAGTGGTTTAGAAGTGTATACAGCTGGTGCACTTGAAAGCACGTCACTGTTGTATGCAAAACTTCTATGTAGATACTTATGATTCTCTAACTGAAATAGTGCATTCGAACATATATATGCGGGAGAAAGTACAGCCTAGACCAAGTACAACAACAATCGGTAGTGGGGGGGGAGGGAGACGGGGAGTTTAAAATAAAAATGGAACATAATCGGTAGTTTTATGTCAATAAATTAATATTATTTAATAAAAAATGTTTTTAAAACAAAACTTGAAAAATGACCAAAAGAAAATGGGACAAAATCAACGACCTATGGCTATTATGAGGATTAAACAGATATCCAATGTAATATTATTATGAAATTTGAGCCTCTGGGCTTACAATTTGCACCCGTATTCACAAATATAGGGCATAGGGTCATCACGATACAAATACGTAAATATTTATTTATATTCAAACATAGCCTTCTGAAAATAAAACAAAGTGGATCCGATTCTAAAAATGTAAATGAAACGCAAATATATTTAATGCTTTGTTCTAATAAATAGTGCCATAGTGATAGTGGTCGCAAGTATGTGTCGCAATTTTAACGCGTCAGCCGATGGCGTCAGACATAGTGGTCGCAAAACCAAATCGCAGACATAGTGGTCGCAGTCTTAACAACATCCACTATAAAATTCCTCCTAAATTTATGTCATACGTAGCTGTTATTATTTTAAGAGGCTATTTAGGTCATAGCCTTCTTCTGAACTGTATAGAAGGCTATAATATATAGTACTGTATGTCAAAGCCGGTTCAATTGAGGAGGCTATGTGTATGTATTTTTAATATAAATATTAAAAATTGTATATAAATATATATATTTACACAATCATCACGGAACGTATCATTCCGGTGTCCAGAAAGCAGTGCTACGATAGTGCCTCCAGTCCATATATATATATATATATATATATATACATATATAATATATATATATATATATATATATATATATATATATATATATATTATATATATATATATATATATATATATATATATGTGGGTCCTCTAGAGCGACCCGCAGCACA